CACGTGGGTGGGTTTTGGGGCGTGCAGGTGTGTGCTGTTGGTGCACGTGGTGCATTTCTATGCATGGACTTGTGCGTGCACGTGGACTTCTGTGCACGGATGCATGGACTTGTGCATGCACGTGGACTTGTGCATGCATGTGCATGTGCATTTTTACATGGGTGTGCGTGCATATCTGCCCTTTTCCTCCGTGCACGTGCATTTTTGCACATGCATGTGGCTTTTTGTGCAGGCATGTGCACACATGTGGTGCATACGTGTGCACTGTTGCACGGGCATGCGTGGTTTTGTGCACGTGTGTGGGGTTTTGTGCATGGCTGTGTGCTTTTTGTCCATAAACGTGCATTTTTGTGCATGCATGCGTGGCTTTGTGCATGTGCTTGTGTGTGTGCACCTGCATGCACGGCTTTGTGCACGCGTGTGCATTTTGGTGCACGCTTGTGTGTGCTTTTTGTGCATGTGTGTGCATTCTGGTGCATGCTTGTGTGTGGTTTTGTGCACGCACAGGCATTTTTGCACACATGTGCATGGTTTCCTTGCATGCACGTGGATTTTTGTCCATGCATGTGTGTTCTTTTTTTACACGCACTGGTCCAAAGGGCTTGGGGATGCCCAGGTGCCTGCCCAGCACCAGCATGTTCACCTGCGGCCACGGGGATGGTGGTGAGAACCCAAATCCCACCCCAAATTGTCACCCGAACGGGTGAGGGAAGGAGGAGGAGGATGGTGTTACCATGTCGGGGAAGAAGGCTTCGGCGCCGGTGGCCACGTCGCCTTGGAAGAGTTGGGGGATGTCCAGGATGTCCTGCTCGGCCAGGCCCAGCGCCCGCTTCAGGATGTCCCGGTTCCAGCTGATGCAGCTCTTGGGGGGACAGGAGGAGGAGGGTGTCAGCAGTGGTGGCAGGGAGGGAGAGAGGGATGGGGGGACAAAGGGAGGGGTGCACGCTTGTGTGTGCTTTTTGTGCATGTGTGTGCATTCTGGTGCATGCTTGTGTGTGGTTTTGTGCACGCACAGGCATTTTTGCACACATGTGCATGGTTTCCTTGCATGCACGTGGATTTTTGTCCATGCATGTGTGTTCTTTTTTTACACGCACGGGCATTTTTGCACGTGGCTGCATGGCTTTGTGCACACGTGTGCATTTCTGTGCGTGCATGCGTGTGCTTTTTTACATACATGAGCATTTTCACGTGTGTGTGCATGGTTTTGTGCACGTGGATTTCACTGCGTGCATGCAGGTGTTTTTTGTGCAAGTGTGTGCATTTTTGTGCACACGTGTGCATTTTTGTGCACACACCCAGATTTTTGCACCCACACCTGTCTCTAGGCACACACACGTGCACAGGAATGGACAGAAGGATTGAAGGATAGAGGGGATGGAGGGAGGGAGGGATGGGTGGGTGGGTGGAGGGATGGCCAGAAGGATTGGTGGATGGAGGGAGAGAGGGATGGATGGATGGACAGAAGAATAGGTGGACGGATGGAGAGATGGATGGGTAGATGGAGGGAAGGTTGGACAGAGGGATGGGTGGATGGACAGAGGGATGGACAGACGGAGTGTGGACAGATGGAGGAACGGATGGAGGGATGGACAGACAGAGGGTTGAAGGCATGGGTGGGTGGATGGAGAGATGGGTGGAGGAATGGCCAGAAGGATTGGAGGATGGATGGATGGATGGATGGATGGATGGATGGATGGATGGACAGAAGAATAGGTGGATGGATGGGAGAGATGGGTGGAGGTATGGTCAGAGGGATGGGTAGGTTGACGGAGGGATAGATGGATGGATGGACAGAAGAATAGGTGGATGGATGGAGAGATGGATGGGTAGACGGAAGGAGGGTTGGACAGAGGGATGGGTGGATGGACAGACGGAGTGTGAATAGATGGAGGAATGGATGGAGAGATGGACAGACAGAGGGTTGAAGGCGTGGGTGGTGGATGGAGAGATGGGTGGAGGAATGGACAGAAGGACTGGAGGATGGAGGGGATGGATGGAGGGGATGGATGGAGGGAGTGAGGCAGGGATGGATGGATGGATGGACGGATGGACGGACGGACAGAAGAATGGATGGATGGACAGAAGAATAAATGGATGGAGAGATGGGTGGAGGTATGGACAGAGAGATGGGTAGACGGAGAGAGGGTTGGACAGAGGGATGGGGGGGATGGACAGAGGGATGGACAGACGGAGTGTGGACAGATGGAGGAATGGATGGAGGGATGGACAGACAGAGGGTTGAAGGCATGGGTGGGTGGATGGAGATATGGGTGGAGGAATGGCCAGAAGGATTAGTGGATGGAGAGAGGGAGGGATGGATGGATGGACAGAAGAATAGGTGGATGGGTGGAGAGATGGGTGGAGGTATGGACAGAGAGATGGGTAGATGGAGGGTTGGACAGGGAGATGGGTGGATGGACAGAGGAAGGGAGGGATGGTGTGGACAGATGGAGGGATGGATGGATGGATGGATGGACAGAGGGATAGGTGGGCGGATGGAGAGATGGGTGAAGGTATGGACAGAGGGATGGTGGGATGGACAGACAGAGGAAGGGAGGGATGGACAGAGGAATAGGTGGACATATGGACAGAGGGATGGGTGGATGGACAGAAGGAGGAATGGGTGGATGGGTGGTTGGAGGGACAGAAGGATAGATGGAGGGATGGAAGAGTGGGCAGAAGGATGGGTAGAGAGAGGGATGGGTAGATGGATGGAGGGACAAAGGGGTGGACATATGTGAACAGATGGAGGGAGGGATGAGTGGGTGGGTAGACAGAGGGACAAAGGGATGGGTGGACAGATGGAGGGACAGAGGAATGGAAGGATGGGGGACCAGAGTGGTGGAGGAATGAACAGAGGGGGCAGAGGGAGGAGGGGGTGGATGGATGGATGGAGGGACAAAGGGATGGGTGGACAGATGGAGGGACAGGACGGGCTGGAAAGGAGCCCCTTCTCCCCTTCCTCACCTGGACGTAATTATTGAATTTCCGGAGACCTTCATTAGCCAGAATCTCATTTATGGTCGGTTTGGGCACTTTTTCCAGTCCTGCAGCACAAATAACCGGGCAGAAATTCTTCCCCCAACACGTTTGGGACAAGACTGATGGGTCTGAGCCAGGAGCTCCCCCAGTCCAGGGGTGACCAGCAGCGAGCTCCATCCCACCCCGGGAAATCAAATCCTTGCAGCTTTTTAATTAATACTGCTTATTTCTGCCCCCCCCCCCATCCTCACTGCCGGCAGCACTTTCCAGCCGTTAGCTGGATTTGGGGGGGCCGTGCGTTCACCCACCCCATTGCATTTTGCAGGAAAAGGGGAAAAATAACCCACTGAACCCCAATTTTCCTCCTCCCCTTACCCTCGAACATCGCCGCCTCGCCGAACCCCTCCTCTTGCTTCTCCTTGAGGAGCTGGTAGCAGGCGCTGGGACTGGCCAGGAGCAGCCGAAAACCCTGGGGAGGGAGAAAGGGATGATTTTTAGGGGGGAGACGGGGGGGCACAGAGGTGACACCCCACTTTTTCCACCCCTTGGGACTCGTTACCTTCCGATCGGGCGCAGGGACGAAGCTGAGGAACTCGTCTACGTGGCCGACGAGGAGCCAGTCAGAAAACAGCTCCACGGGGGCCTGCACTTGTTGGGCGACGAGGAAATCCTTCACGGCCTTCGCCATCCGCCTGCCACCAAACCTGGGGGGGGGACAAGGGGGGAACCTCCATTTTGGGGTACCCAAAGCGATGCTCTGCTTGCACCCGGCCTCAAATTGGGCACAAAAATCCTTTTTTGGGGGTTGTTTTGGTTTCCACTCCCTCCATCCCCTCTCACCTGGGGAAGCTGCTGCCGATCAGGATGCGGCCCAAGGGGTACTCCTTGCCCTGCACCGTCACGGGGGGGCTCACCTCCAAATTACCAAAGGAATCAAGGCTGGAAGCACCCTCTGGTGCTTGTCGGGCCACGTAGCCAAAATCAGGGCCCTGGATGGAGAAAAAAAAGGTGATAATAGTTAAAAAAATGCAATAATGGGAAGAATAGATGGATGGATGGATGGAGAGATGGGTGGAGGAATGGACAGAAGGATTGGTGGATGGAGGGGGAGGATGGAGGGGATGGATGGAGGAAGGGAGGGATGGGTGGAGGGATGGACAGAAGGATTGGTAGATGGAGGGAGGGATGGATGGACAGAAGAATAGGTGGACAGATGGAGAGATGGGTGGAGGTATGGACAGAGAGATGGGTAGACGGAGAGAGGGTTGGACAGAGGGATGGGGGGGATGGACAGAGGGATGGACAGACGGAGTGTGGACAGATGGAGGAATGGATGGAGGGATGGACAGACAGAGGGTTGAAGGCATGGGTGGTGGATGGAGATACAGGTAGAGGAATGGACAAAAGGATTGGGAGGTATCAATGGAAGGAGGGAGGGAGGGATGGATGGACAGAAGAATAGGTGGACGGATGGAGAGATGGGTGGAGGAATAGACAGAAGGATTGAAGGATAGAGGGGATGGATGGAGGGAAGGAGGGATGGGTGGAGGGATGGCCAGAAGGATTGGTGGATGGATGGATGGACAGAAGAATAGGTGGATGGATGGGAGAGATGGGTGGAGGTATGGACAGAGAGATGGGTAGACGGAAGGAGGGTTGGACATAGGGATGGGTGGACGGACATAGGGATGGACAGATGGAGGAATGGATGGATGGATGGACAGAAGGAGGGTTGAAGGCATGGGTGGTGAATGGAGATACGGGTGGAGGAATGGCCAGAAGGATTGGTGGAGGGAGGGAGGGATCAATGGAGGGAGGGAGGGAGGGATAGATGGATGGATGGACAGAAGAACAGATGGATGGATGGATGGAGAGATGGGTGGAGGAATGGACAGAAGGATTGAAGGATAGAGGGGATGGAGGGAGGGAGGGATGGGTGGGGGGGGGGAGGGATGGCCAGAAGGATTGGTGGATGGAGGGAGAGAGGGATGGATGGATGGACAGAAGAATAGGTGGACGGATGGAGAGATGGATGGGTAGATGGAGGGAAGGTTGGACAGAGGGATGGGTGGATGGACAGAGGGATGGACAGACGGAGTGTGGACAGATGGAGGAACGGATGGAGGGATGGACAGACAGAGGGTTGAAGGCATGGGTGGGTGGATGGAGAGATGGGTGGAGGAATGGCCAGAAGGATTGGAGGATGGATGGATGGATGGATGGATGGATGGATGGATGGATGGACAGAAGAATAGGTGGATGGATGGGAGAGATGGGTGGAGGTATGGTCAGAGGGATGGGTAGGTTGACGGAGGGATAGATGGATGGATGGACAGAAGAATAGGTGGATGGATGGAGAGATGGATGGGTAGACGGAAGGAGGGTTGGACAGAGGGATGGGTGGATGGACAGACGGAGTGTGAATAGATGGAGGAATGGATGGAGAGATGGACAGACAGAGGGTTGAAGGCGTGGGTGGTGGATGGAGAGATGGGTGGAGGAATGGACAGAAGGACTGGAGGATGGAGGGGATGGATGGAGGGGATGGATGGAGGGAGTGAGGCAGGGATGGATGGATGGATGGACGGATGGACGGACGGACAGAAGAATGGATGGATGGACAGAAGAATGGATGGATGGAGAGATGGGTGGAGGAATGGACAGAAGGATTGAAGGATAGAGGGGATGGAGGGAGGGAGGGATGGGTGGGTGGGTGGAGGGATGGCCAGAAGGATTGGTGGATGGAGGGAGAGAGGGATGGATGGATGGACAGAAGAATAGGTGGACGGATGGAGAGATGGATGGGTAGATGGAGGGAAGGTTGGACAGAGGGATGGGTGGATGGACAGAGGGATGGACAGACGGAGTGTGGACAGATGGAGGAACGGATGGAGGGATGGACAGACAGAGGGTTGAAGGCATGGGTGGGTGGATGGAGAGATGGGTGGAGGAATGGCCAGAAGGATTGGAGGATGGATGGATGGATGGATGGATGGATGGATGGATGGATGGACAGAAGAATAGGTGGATGGATGGGAGAGATGGGTGGAGGTATGGTCAGAGGGATGGGTAGGTTGACGGAGGGATAGATGGATGGATGGACAGAAGAATAGGTGGATGGATGGAGAGATGGATGGGTAGACGGAAGGAGGGTTGGACAGAGGGATGGGTGGATGGACAGACGGAGTGTGAATAGATGGAGGAATGGATGGAGAGATGGACAGACAGAGGGTTGAAGGCGTGGGTGGTGGATGGAGAGATGGGTGGAGGAATGGACAGAAGGACTGGAGGATGGAGGGGATGGATGGAGGGGATGGATGGAGGGAGTGAGGCAGGGATGGATGGATGGATGGACGGATGGACGGACGGACAGAAGAATGGATGGATGGACAGAAGAATAAATGGATGGAGAGATGGGTGGAGGAATGGACAGAAGGATTGAAGGATAGAGGGGAGGGAGGGAGGGATGGATGGATGGATGGACAGAAGAATAGGTGGACGGATGGAGAGATGGGTGGAGGAATAGACAGAAGGATTGAAGGATAGAGGGGATGGAGGGAGGGAGGTATGGCCAGAAGGATTGGTGGATGGAGGGAGGGAGGGATGGATGGATGGATGGACGGACAAACAGAAGAATAGGTGGATGGATGGGAGAGATGGGTGGAGGTATGGACAGAGAGATGGGTAGATGGAGGGAAGGTTGGACAGAGGGATGGGTGGATGGACAGAGGGATGGACAGACGGAGTGTGGACAGATGGAGGAATGGATGGAGGGATGGACAGACAGAGGGTTGAAGGCATAGGTGGGTGGATGGAGATATGGGTGGAGGAATGGCCAGAAGGATTAGTGGATGGAGAGAGGGAGGGATGGATGGATGGACAGAAGAATAGGTGGATGGGTGGAGAGATGGGTGGAGGTATGGACAGAGAGATGGGTAGATGGAGGGTTGGACAGGGAGATGGGTGGATGGACAGAGGAAGGGAGGGATGGTGTGGACAGATGGAGGGATGGATGGATGGATGGATGGACAGAGGGATAGGTGGGCGGATGGAGAGATGGGTGAAGGTATGGACAGAGGGATGGTGGGATGGACAGACAGAGGAAGGGAGGGATGGACAGAGGAATAGGTGGACATATGGACAGAGGGATGGGTGGATGGACAGAAGGAGGAATGGGTGGATGGGTGGTTGGAGGGACAGAAGGATAGATGGAGGGATGGAAGAGTGGGCAGAAGGATGGGTAGAGAGAGGGATGGGTAGATGGATGGAGGGACAAAGGGGTGGACATATGTGAACAGATGGAGGGAGGGATGAGTGGGTGGGTAGTGGATGGACAGAGGGATGGACAGACGGAGTGTGGACAGATGGAGGAACGGATGGAGGGATGGACAGACAGAGGGTTGAAGGCATGGGTGGGTGGATGGAGAGATGGGTGGAGGAATGGCCAGAAGGATTGGAGGATGGATGGATGGATGGATGGATGGATGGATGGATGGATGGACAGAAGAATAGGTGGATGGATGGGAGAGATGGGTGGAGGTATGGTCAGAGGGATGGGTAGGTTGACGGAGGGATAGATGGATGGATGGACAGAAGAATAGGTGGATGGATGGAGAGATGGATGGGTAGACGGAAGGAGGGTTGGACAGAGGGATGGGTGGATGGACAGACGGAGTGTGAATAGATGGAGGAATGGATGGAGAGATGGACAGACAGAGGGTTGAAGGCGTGGGTGGTGGATGGAGAGATGGGTGGAGGAATGGACAGAAGGACTGGAGGATGGAGGGGATGGATGGAGGGGATGGATGGAGGGAGTGAGGCAGGGATGGATGGATGGATGGACGGATGGACGGACGGACAGAAGAATGGATGGATGGACAGAAGAATAAATGGATGGAGAGATGGGTGGAGGAATGGACAGAAGGATTGAAGGATAGAGGGGAGGGAGGGAGGGATGGATGGATGGATGGACAGAAGAATAGGTGGACGGATGGAGAGATGGGTGGAGGAATAGACAGAAGGATTGAAGGATAGAGGGGATGGAGGGAGGGAGGTATGGCCAGAAGGATTGGTGGATGGAGGGAGGGAGGGATGGATGGATGGATGGACGGACAAACAGAAGAATAGGTGGATGGATGGGAGAGATGGGTGGAGGTATGGACAGAGAGATGGGTAGATGGAGGGAAGGTTGGACAGAGGGATGGGTGGATGGACAGAGGGATGGACAGACGGAGTGTGGACAGATGGAGGAATGGATGGAGGGATGGACAGACAGAGGGTTGAAGGCATAGGTGGGTGGATGGAGATATGGGTGGAGGAATGGCCAGAAGGATTAGTGGATGGAGAGAGGGAGGGATGGATGGATGGACAGAAGAATAGGTGGATGGATGGAGAGATGGATGGGTAGACGGAAGGAGGTCAATGGAAGGAGGGAGGGAGGGATGGATGGACAGAAGAATAGGTGGACGGATGGAGAGATGGGTGGAGGAATAGACAGAAGGATTGAAGGATAGAGGGGATGGATGGAGGGAAGGAGGGATGGGTGGAGGGATGGCCAGAAGGATTGGTGGATGGATGGATGGACAGAAGAATAGGTGGATGGATGGGAGAGATGGGTGGAGGTATGGACAGAGAGATGGGTAGACGGAAGGAGGGTTGGACATAGGGATGGGTGGACGGACATAGGGATGGACAGATGGAGGAATGGATGGATGGATGGACAGAAGGAGGGTGGACAGAAGGAGGAATGGGTGGATGGGTGGTTGGAGGGACAGAAGGATAGATGGAGGGATGGAAGAGTGGGCAGAAGGATGGGTAGAGAGAGGGATGGGTAGATGGATGGAGGGACAAAGGGGTGGACATATGTGAACAGATGGAGGGAGGGATGAGTGGGTGGGTAGACAGAGGGACAAAGGGATGGGTGGACAGATGGAGGGACAGAGGAATGGAAGGATGGGGGACCAGAGTGGTGGAGGAATGAACAGAGGGGGCAGAGGGAGGAGGGGGTGGATGGATGGATGGAGGGACAAAGGGATGGGTGGACAGATGGAGGGACAGGACGGGCTGGAAAGGAGCCCCTTCTCCCCTTCCTCACCTGGACGTAATTATTGAATTTCCGGAGACCTTCATTAGCCAGAATCTCATTTATGGTCGGTTTGGGCACTTTTTCCAGTCCTGCAGCACAAATAACCGGGCAGAAATTCTTCCCCCAACACGTTTGGGACAAGACTGATGGGTCTGAGCCAGGAGCTCCCCCAGTCCAGGGGTGACCAGCAGCGAGCTCCATCCCACCCCGGGAAATCAAATCCTTGCAGCTTAGGGAGGGATGGATGGATGGATGGACAGAAGAATAGGTGGACGGATGGAGAGATGGGTGGAGGAATAGACAGAAGGATTGAAGGATAGAGGGGATGGAGGGAGGGAGGTATGGCCAGAAGGATTGGTGGATGGAGGGAGGGAGGGATGGATGGATGGATGGACGGACAAACAGAAGAATAGGTGGATGGATGGGAGAGATGGGTGGAGGTATGGACAGAGAGATGGGTAGATGGAGGGAAGGTTGGACAGAGGGATGGGTGGATGGACAGAGGGATGGACAGACGGAGTGTGGACAGATGGAGGAATGGATGGAGGGATGGACAGACAGAGGGTTGAAGGCATAGGTGGGTGGATGGAGATATGGGTGGAGGAATGGCCAGAAGGATTAGTGGATGGAGAGAGGGAGGGATGGATGGATGGACAGAAGAATAGGTGGATGGGTGGAGAGATGGGTGGAGGTATGGACAGAGAGATGGGTAGATGGAGGGTTGGACAGGGAGATGGGTGGATGGACAGAGGAAGGGAGGGATGGTGTGGACAGATGGAGGGATGGATGGATGGATGGATGGACAGAGGGATAGGTGGGCGGATGGAGAGATGGGTGAAGGTATGGACAGAGGGATGGTGGGATGGACAGACAGAGGAAGGGAGGGATGGACAGAGGAATAGGTGGACATATGGACAGAGGGATGGGTGGATGGACAGAAGGAGGAATGGGTGGATGGGTGGTTGGAGGGACAGAAGGATAGATGGAGGGATGGAAGAGTGGGCAGAAGGATGGGTAGAGAGAGGGATGGGTAGATGGATGGAGGGACAAAGGGGTGGACATATGTGAACAGATGGAGGGAGGGATGAGTGGGTGGGTAGACAGAGGGACAAAGGGATGGGTGGACAGATGGAGGGACAGAGGAATGGAAGGATGGGGGACCAGAGTGGTGGAGGAATGAACAGAGGGGGCAGAGGGAGGAGGGGGTGGATGGATGGATGGAGGGACAAAGGGATGGGTGGACAGATGGAGGAATGGATGGAGGGATGGACAGACAGAGGGTTGAAGGCATAGGTGGGTGGATGGAGATATGGGTGGAGGAATGGCCAGAAGGATTAGTGGATGGAGAGAGGGAGGGATGGATGGATGGAGGGACAAAGGGATGGGTGGACAGATGGAGGAATGGATGGAGGGATGGACAGACAGAGGGTTGAAGGCATTGGTGGGGGATGGAGATACGGGTGGAGGAATGGCCAGAAGGATTGGTGGATGGATGGACAGACAGAGGGTTGAAGGCATAGGTGGGTGGATGGAGATATGGGTGGAGGAATGGCCAGAAGGATTAGTGGATGGAGAGAGGGAGGGATGGATGGATGGACAGAAGAATAGGTGGATGGGTGGAGAGATGGGTGGAGGTATGGACAGAGAGATGGGTAGATGGAGGGTTGGACAGGGAGATGGGTGGATGGACAGAGGAAGGGAGGGATGGTGTGGACAGATGGAGGGATGGATGGATGGATGGATGGACAGAGGGATAGGTGGGCGGATGGAGAGATGGGTGAAGGTATGGACAGAGGGATGGTGGGATGGACAGACAGAGGAAGGGAGGGATGGACAGAGGAATAGGTGGACATATGGACAGAGGGATGGGTGGATGGACAGAAGGAGGAATGGGTGGATGGGTGGTTGGAGGGACAGAAGGATAGATGGAGGGATGGAAGGCTGGACAGAAGGATGGGTAGAGAGAGGGATGGGTGGATGGCTGGAGGGACAAAGAGGTGGACAGGAATACGTGAACAGATGGGACAGAGGGACAAAGGGATGGGTGGACAGATGGAGGGACAGGA